TAATACTTTCAACAATAAAGATAAATTTTTTAAGAAGTGTGAAATAGCCCTAGCCAGTTTGGCTTAAGGGTCCTGGGTTTGATTGTAGTCAAGGGCATATGCCTGAGTTGCAGGCTTGATCACCAGTAGGGGAGGAGGCAGCCAATTAATGATTCTCTCTCTTATCATTGATGTTTCTGTCTCTCTCCCCCCGTGCCCTTCTGATATTAATAAAAAATATTTTAAAAAAAAGAAGTGTGAAATATAGGCTCCCCTTTGGGGGGCATGCCTATGCCTTTCTTCCCTCTCTGCTGTGCATCTCCTAAACGCTATGATCCCCAGGAGACTGGCAACCAGGGGAGCAGTGTTGGGGGCAGCTCGTTTCAAGCTAACCCCCTGAGCCTGTCTCAAGGCTCCCTTTTCTCCTACTCTTCAGTGAGCCAGTAGCAGCCCCACCTTGGCTCACTTGTCACTGACATTTCTCAGTGAGCCAAAGCAGTGCCTCTTCGCCTCCCTCCTGCTGCTTCTATCCTAAGCCCACCCTGGTTTCACGGTCTGGTTTTAATACATGTACTCTCAGTGTGAAATGTAACACAACTTTCCAAAGACTGTCAATGACTTAACTGTGTTTTGCCCTCAGCCAGGGGCAATGCCCAAACATTTGGGGTAAAGTATTGGCTATGTGACCCACAGAGCCACCGTGGAGTCCTGGTGAGGGTGGGTTGTGCAGCTCTGACCTCTTTCAGGTCCCTCTACTGCCTTTTGTGGCAATACAGTGGGATCCTTCCTTACAGGTTCTTGACCTCAAGGCCTTGTCAACTTAACTATGAATTTGATCCAGACGGTGTTCTGTTTCTTGACATGGATGCTCCCTTCAAAATAATTCATTAAGCTTCAAATCTATGGTTTAAGCACTTACCCATACTGAGGAAACATTCACCATGAAAGAAATGATCAGCATCATCACTGGGCCTGTCTTCCTCAGGATTTGGGGGTTGCAAAAAGTGCTTTTGACTTGGGTAGGAAGAAAGAGTTCCAAGCTTGACTCTTCCTGCCAGAATTGCCCATATTTCAGCAGTGACCTGGGCTGGTTTCCTAGGTATTTATTTCACCGCTACACGTACGTCAGGGAAGCAACCACAGGCTAAGCTCAGGGGGAACTTTTGTGTGTGTGTGGTGATAACGGTAAGATTTACTTTCTTAGCAATTTTCAAGCACATAATACAGTGTTGTTAACCATAGTCACCGTGCTATGCTCAGATCTCCATTATGTATTCATCTTATAACTGGAAGTGTGTACTCTTTGACCAACATTTCCCCATCTCCCCATACCCTGACAACCACCATTCTGCTTGGTTTCTATGAGTTTGTTTAACTTCAACCTAATCTACAAGGCTCTCTGCTCTGACTCATGCTCTCCTCTCTAGCATCATAGCTCACTGAAGCCAGCTCTTCTTATATCTTATGCTCACATAACAATGACGTACTGAGTCCTTCTAATGTTCCCTAGCACTGTGCCTGACTCGTGTGGCTCCCCTTTGAGGGCCTGCACAACCTTTACTTCCTGATGAATACCAGCACATTCTCTAGGCCGACTTCAGGCCTCTTCTCCACTGACCAGCATCCCGACTCCCTGTTGTCCCATCCGACTTTCAGTCCCACCCTTCTTTATAAACCTGTTTTACTCCACTTGACTTTCCCCATAGCATCTACAAGCTTCATTGCATTTACTTGTGTCAACTGAAGGTCACTGCTGCCAATTCAGTGCTAGTAGGAACCCCGATTTCCATGTGGTGAGGGGAGAGATGCTTTATTCGTGCAAACAGTTCGATTGTGAAACAGCTCCAGCGCGGCTGTGGCTGTGAGGGGGCTCCGGAGGAGACCAGTGTTATGGCGCAGGAGTTACCGCCTTGGTGTTAGGATTCAGCCCAGGGAGACGGCTCTGCTCCTGTGCTGCAGCTCAGCCAGTATTGCAGCTCTAGTTGGGCAACAGTCTTCCATAGAAAACTGAGTGTGCTCTCCTGAGGAATATTGTGCACCTGTGGCTGTAGTCCATGCAGAAAATTGGGAGTATACTGGAAAACCATAGGAATGACTTCGGGCTTACGTAGGCCCGGTGTGGCTCCATGAGTAGATGGAGGCACCCAGCACCCATTCATGTGGCAAATATTCTGCTCTTTTCCTGCCTACCTGGACCACTACCCGCAGTGCTCCTTCCCCTGGCAGAATATCACCACCCCCCAGTCCAAGTGGTGAGCAACTCTACAGTTTTGTACAACTTCATCTTCAAGACCCTGACTACCCACCCCCAGGACATCACGGTGGTCCACTTCATTGATGTGCTGCTACTTATCCCGGAGAATTGGAAGGGGCAAGAATCCAGGTGTCTTGGTAAAACATCGATGCTTAATTGGGGAGATAAATCCTGGGGGAAAAGTGCCTACCCAGCAAGTTCCTGGGGGTAAAGAAAAAAATATCAGATTTTTTTTTTGGACTACAGGTGGATAAAAACGAAGCTTGGTTTAGAGGTGGCTCTGCACGACACACTGGTATCAGCAGTGAATGTCAGGGCGTTACAGCCCCATGCAGGATACTAAACGGCAGTGAGCAGAAAGCAGCCCAAAGGCAGAACTTCAAGAATGTATCACACCTCTCCTCTACTGAAAGACAGATGACTTGTGTCTACAGCCTGAAGCAGAGGGGAAGAGACTTGGGAAGAATGAAACTGGACTTCCTAACACAGGCCCAGGGGCCCATGTGAAAGCTCACCAAGGCTTCCACTGCTGGGCACCAGACGGTCTGTCCACTCCTCACAATCAAGTCCAAGGCTGTGGGCACAGTTGCCAATCCATGGCCCACAATGTGTGTCCATCAGCTCGCCCCAGAAGTTATGTTGAGCATCTGAAAGGACTCCACTGTGCTGTGCCAGGTTTGGTACCAGGGAAAAGGGCTACCACCAGCCTGAGGAAGGAGGCCATTGCTCGGAGGGGTGCAAAGCCGATGGAGGCGGGGTGCAAGGCACAATAACCACCGGCTCTAAGCTTATACCTGTTACCTGCGTCCTCACCTGAATGTGTGTGGGGGGTGCCCATGTTTTCTAAAAGGTTTTCATTTCTTGGGTGTTCCCAGGCCCTCTCTACATTGTGGGAGTTCAGGAAAAGAAGCTGGGATTCTGTCCTCCCATGGTATCTGGGCACTTAGTGAACGGTGGCAAAGGGGCTGCAGCTCTGGCTCGGAGAAACAGCTCTTCAACCTCAACCCAGATGTTGCTCGAGAGCTTGTATGAACAGGGGCAATGGATCTCTATGTTCACTTATTCAATCTTGTGAACTTTAACCACAAGTATTCCTGGTACCCTCAGGGTTTGATCCAGGTGCTTGACAAATTACACCGACCTTGTAAAGCGTGGATCAAACAGGCCTCCCCTGCCAGCACCCATCTGCTGGGTCGTCCAAGGAGGCTGGCAGTGCCAGGACAGATGCAGGTCACTGAGGCCATGGGTGGAAAGGGCTACTAGAAGAAACGGGGTCTCCATCTGGCCTTCTGTGTCTTGAGCCACCAGATCCAAAGCCCATGGTCAAGCAGAAACAGGTCTTTGGCCAACGGTTGGCTTGTGTCTCAGGTATCCTGTGACAGCTGCTCCTGGCTGGAGCCCTAAAACCCTAGATCAGAGGTCAGCAGACTTCTTTTGTAAAAGCCATATAATCCTAGCCAGTTTGGCTCAGTGGATAGAGTGTCAGCCTGAGGACTGAAGGGTCCTGGGTTCGATTCTGATCAGGGGCATATGCCTGGGTTGTGGGCTCAGTCCCTAGTAAAGGGCATGCAGGAGGCAGCTGATCAATGATTCGCTCTCATCATTGGTGTTTCTCTCTCCCCCCCCTGAAATCAATAAAAAAAGTATTTATATATATTTTTAAAAAGCCATATTAACAAATATTTTAGACTTTGCAAGTCACATATGGTCCCTGTTGCAACTAATCATCTCTGCCATCGTAGCATCCAAGTAGTCAATGAATGGGTGTGGCTGTATTCAAACAAACCTTTATTTACAAAAACAGGTAGTAGACCAGATTTGCCAACCCCTGACCACCCTCGATGATACTCAGGAGATGACCTCACGCCTATGGTCCAGTCTGCCCCTCTGTAAGATGGAAACCGTAGGGTCTGGTGCTGTGCTGGCAGTTGTACATGGGGCAGAAAAGGGCACTGGTCAACTGGTAGATGCAGAGGCCAAAACAAGAGGGCCACAATGGAAGAGGTTGAGCTTCCTTCTTCAGAAGAAACACCTCCGTTTTATCCCAGGCCACACCCGTATACACACACACACAGTCCCTGGGCAGGCACTGTCCTTACTGGGCCCTTAGTTGCCCTTGTGCTGTGGCCTGACCACCTGTCCCTCTTTGGTGATGGCCCAGTTGTAGCTCTTTGGGGAGTCCAACGCTGCTTCTATCCGAGCATCCAGGTTCTCTCGGGTGATGAAGGTTTTTGCATCCTCCTATTGAGAGAGAAGGCGGCTGACTGGGAGCCCCCAGCACGGGCCAGCCTGCCCACCCTGCCTGCTGGCCTTCAGCCCACTGACAGCTCCAGCTCTCCCCTGGGAAGGATGCCTGGAGCCCAGGTCTTCTTTGAGTGCCCCGCTGACTTGCGAGCAGCCTTGTCACCTTCCTCTTTCTTAACCATCCACTGGACAGCTCTGCCAGAACCACAGCACACCAGCTGTGACAATGTTACCTCTCCGTCTCTCTCAAACTCCTCCTTCTCCCCCCATCACTTTAATTAAAGCCTCATCCATTCTTGCTGGATCACTCCTGCCAACCCAGCCAAAATATTTACCCCTTCAGTGACATCACCCAAAGACAAACTCTCTGGATTTCAGGGGTCCCTCCCGCAGACACCAGCTTACCACCCACCATCTACGTGGACACTTTCCAATGTCAGCGCTCACTCCAGGTCTCTGTGCCTGCCAGAGGCCCGCTCCTTGCACTCCTCTCCCAAATCCTCACCTGCTCTCTCAAGACTGCCCTCTCCATTTGCACGCAGCCGGTGTCCCACCTCGCTGCACCCAGGACTCTGCCGGCCTCCCACGATGAGCTCCCGGTCTCCAGACCCACCCCGTGGAGACGCGACCCACCTGCAGCTGCAGCACTTCCTGCTCCTTGAGCTGCACCCAGGCCTCTCTCTCTCGGGCCTTACGGGCCTTCTCCTCGGCCTGCAGTTGCTCCTGCTCCCGGGCCTCCTGCCGCAGCCTCGCTATCCTGGGAGGAACAAGAGGCCGAGGCTGAGCGGGCTGGGTTCCCGCGGGCCGGACATGTGTGAAAAAAGGATGAAGTCATGTTTAGTTTAAAAACAGAACAAAATCACTATCTATCCCATAACTTTAATCTTTTAAGAATTATGACTACAGATGAATAAATT